CAAGGAAGCTTCCCTGAAGTTTACATTCAATGTATTGTGAATTATCTCCCCCTTCCCCTGCCTATATAACTCAGGCCTTATGGCCATTGTAACACAACCTTTGAATATTGAAAATCTTTTACTCTTTGAGTATTATTAAAATAGTGTGATGCTATTTTAGCCAAATTCCTAATTCTATATCTTAAGAGTGGTTATCTTAAGTGTGAGTTTTAGGTTCTAGATATTTGATTAAGTGTGTCATATCTTAATTAAATTCTAGATTCAAACCCCAAGTTAGGATAAGAGTGTGTAATATCTCTTAAACACCAACTTGGTTTATCTATCCCTGATTTTCTTCCATTTCATACCTCCCCATTTCTCCTCTTAATCTTACTCTTTTCTTCCATTAAAAATACCCAAAAGAACTCCCTCATCAGCCCCATATATTTCCAACCCATTCCCCGTAAAAACGCCTTTCTTCCTTTCCAGAATCACTGCCAAACAATCGATTATCACTCCCCACAATCGATTATCAGTTCCATTGGAAACATCTGCAGGTAGTAATAATCGATTATCCCTTTAAGATAATCGACTATCACTCATTCCTAGAAAATCTGCAGCCTTCCATAATCGATTATCACTTCTTGTAAATCGATTGTTTATTTCTCCTAAATTTCTGCCTGAGAAACTGAATCACTTGACAATCGATTATCCAACTTGGACAATCGATTATCATACATCAAGGGAAACTCCTACAGTCCTATATAATCGATTATCACCATACTGATAATCGACTATTAACCCATCCAGCAAAAGAAGGAGCTTGTTCCTTAAATTCGAGCTTAATACCGACAAACCCAGAGCGTAGATATAACATCATCATATTCATCCCAAATGATCTTTGGAGTAGTGGGCTGCATGGTTTCAGTAGTTTGAAAGGAAGGTAGTTCGGGTTTAGAAAATTGAGGAGCAAAGATGGGAGCTTCAACCATGAAGAAGGATGGATCTTCAAGGGTACTCTTGGGGGTTTGTGGTTGGCTTAAAGACATGACATTGGGAACGGATTGAGGTGAGGGGGTCGGACTGAAGTTGGGGGTGTAATGGGCAGTGGTTAGGAGGGGTAAAGGCATGGTTTTAGATGGTTTTTCAAGTGGGAGTGTAGGGGTAGGTGTGGGGAGGGTTAGGACAGTTTGTGGACGGATGTTGGGTATGGTTTTGGAAGAGTTTGGAGGTAGGGGTATTGAGAGGGTTTTGGGTTTTGTTTGGACAGTGGCCAGGGATGAACTATAAATGGGTTTTGAGGTATTTTGGGGCAGGGGTGTGGTAAGGGGTGTTGGTTTAGTTTGGGCAGTGGCTAAGGAAGGTAAAGAGGTTGTTTGAGTAGGAATTTTGGGTAAAGAGGGAACTTTAGAGGGAGTTTGAGTGTTGAAGATGGTGGGGGCTTCGGGAATGATTTGGGTTTCATGAGAGTTCTGTGAGGATCGGGATTTAGAGGAAGTTAAGGTTGTGGGAGAGAGGGCAATATGGAACGGCTTTTGTTGTGGGGAAGGTGGGATGAGTGTAGAAAGAGTATTGGGTGAAAAAGGGAGAGTATGTTTAAGTACCTGGTGGAGATGATCTTTGGAAGAAAATCTCTCAATTAAGAGTTTTCTTAACTTTTCCCAAGTTCTCACCTTCGCTTTTCCTTGGAGCTTTCGTTTTGAAGCAACGCTAGCCCACCAAGTAGAGGCATGTCTTTGAAACTTTGTCACCACTAGCTTGACCTTCTTGTCTTCGGGCACGTCTTTGAGTGTAAAGACATCTTCAACTTTTGCTAACCACTTTGAGAACTTCTCCGGGTCATTTCTTCCTTCAAACGTGGGAATCTCCACTGAATTAGTGAGCTCCTTGACTTGTTTCATCATAAGCTCAACTTCCTTCTTTAACTTTTCTTGGGTAGCAACTACATCATATTGAGACATTTCTTAGATGATGTGAGAAATGTTTCAAAAGAGATAATGTAGGAGATGGTGTTTTGGCCCCTTGAGGGATGTGGAACAACAAGCTTTGATACCAAATATTATATCTCAGCTCAGGGTTTGTCGATATTAAGCTCGGATTTAAGGAACAAGCTCCTTCTTTTGCTGATGGGTTGATAGTCGATTATGAGTATGGTGATAATCGGTTATATAGGACTGCAGGAGTTTCCCTTGATGTATGATAATCGATTGTCCAAGTTGGATAATCGATTGTCAAGTGATTCAGTTTCTCAAGAGGAGCTTCAGAAGTTTAGGAGAAATAAACAATCAATTTACAAGAAGTGATAATCGATTAGGGAAGGCTGCAGATTTTCTAGGAATGAGTGATAGTCGATTATCTTAAAGGGATAATCGATTATTACTACATGCAGATGTTTCTAATGGAACTGATAATCGATTGTGGGGAGTGATAATCGATTATTTGGCAGTGATTCTGGACAGGAAGAAAGGCGTTTTTGCGGGGAATGGGTTGGAAATATATGGGGCTGATGAGGGAGTTCTTTTGGGTATTTTTAATGGAAGAAAAGAGTAAGATTAAGAGGAGAAATGGGGGAGGTATGAAATGGAAGAAAGTCAGGGATGGATAAACCAAGTTGGTGTTTAAGAGATATTACACACTCTTAGCCTAACTTGGGGTTTGAATCTAGAATTCAAATAAGATATTACACACTTATTTAAATATCTAGAACCTAAAACTCACACTTAAGATAACCACTCTTAAGATATAGAATTAGGGATTTGGCTAAAATAGCATCACAGTATTTTATAATTACTCAAAGAGTAAAAGAAATTTTTAATATTCAAATATTGATTTTACAATGGCCATAAGGCCTGATTATATAGGGAGAGGGGAAGGGGAAAATACTCAATACATTGAATGTGAACATGAGGAAGCTTCCTAGCAACATCCTCTCTCCAAGCATGGGGCATTGGTCATTCCTTCATGTCTCCTTAGTGGAATAAAATCAGGGATGGGGCTGGGGTTGTGGGGGTTTGTGTTTTGGTTCCTAGTGGTTGTTTCCTGGTTTTTAAAGCTATTATTTGGGTAAAAATGGGGGGGGGGATGTTTTGGCCAATAAAAGGGGACAGGGCTGGGTATTATTTATGGGTGTTTTGGAGTTTATGGCTTTGGGTTATTGTGAGGGAACATGGACAGGATATATGGTTGGTGGTGGTGGGTCATGGTTTTTGGCTCTTTGTTGATGTTGTGTTGGGATGGTGAGGGATATTTGACCATGAATTTAGAGGAAGGGAGAGAAGGTTTTATTTGTTTATTAAAAGGCTTTAAAAGAAGGAAAATAACAACAAACAAAAGGTTTTGGTTTACACACTCTTATTTTTTACCAAGGGCTAAAATAAGAGTAATAAAAACTTTATTTTGAAATGAATTAAATGGAAAGGGGATTTAGATATTTAGGGTTGGGTTGGACGGAGTGGGAGTCAGCTTGTGGAATCCTTTGGCCCAAAGTTATTCTGGCCGCTCGGGTTGAAGGACTCGGAATTCGCACTAAAATGGATCATAATGTTTGAACGTGTATCCTTTGGCCTTTGCAAGGGTGTGGGACATGGGGGAGGGTATGATAGGGCCAGGCCCAGATATAACAATTAAATTTCTTGATAAATCTGGAATTTAATTAAGTCAAGTCCAGTAATTTGATAATTGATCTTTAGACATTGGATTGATTGTTAAGTAAATATTTGAAAAGATGTTTACTTACTAGTAAAACGATTTAAGGTAAAAGTAACCGGTGATTTTACTCTAGAAAGAACCATCACCTCACCGATAATTACATCCCTACTTTTTATTCCTGAAAGGTAAAAACTAAATCTCCATTCCTTATTCGACTTTTTGAAAACTTTTTGATTCAACGAGTAAATCTTGTCTAGCTAGTCTTGCTAATCTTTCCCTTGGGCCGATCCTTGAGACGACACGGGATAAACTGATCTTTTAAAGGTCTAGTCTGTTCCCTTTACTACTACGGGAATTTTGAGTTCAACCAAAATTCTTCACCAAATGGCGCCGCACATATTAAGCAAAACAAGGTCTTTCGCGAAGGCGAAAAAGTGTTGCTTTATAATTCTCGTTTGAAATTGTTCCCAGGCAAGCTTCGCTCCCGATGGACAGGGCCTTACACAATCACCCGAGTCTTTCCTTATGGGACTATAGAGTTAGGAGGTGAATCTGGAACGTTCAAGGTCAACGGTCAACAGATTAAGAGGTATTTCAGTGAACAGTTTCAGAAAGAGAAGGTGGAGATCAAACTCCACAAGTGATGAAGTAAGCGCGTCAAGCTAGTGACGTTAAAAAAGCGCTGAACGGGAGGTAACCCGTTATCTCTCTCTGCTTTATTTAATTATTGTTTTATGTTATTTCTTATTTGAATAAATGAATGGAGACTTGTCGCACCTACGCGGGGGCAAGATTTTATATGTGTATTTCATGTGCAAATGCCTCACAAACCAGCATACCCGACTGCTACGCGTGCCGATGTTCACTTGGTGGGTTCTGGGCCCATCGAGCAGTTCGAGATGTGGGGCCGCCACCGCTCTCTGACAGAGTCTGTGTATCTGTCCTCTGCAGTCCTCGCCGACTACGGGTACGCTGAGGAGATGAAGCAGCTGCTATGAGGGACTAGGTGGCATCGCCTCTTCACCATGCGGGCCGAGTCCAGCCTGCCACTAACGATCGAGTTTCTGTGCTCTCTAGAGTTGGAGCCATCCTCAGGGTCGAGGATGATGAACTTCTAGTCCTATAAATACAGCACTCCCCCTCTCCGATTTTATACGCTGCACAGCGCCTCTTCTCCCCCAAAAAGTCCGAATTTCTCCTCTTTTTCCCTAGATATTATAAGTTACTCTCATATTTTAGATTAGTAACATTTTTTGGAGCTTTTCTCGGAGCAATTTGTAGCCCGGACCTCCTGTTCTTCAGATCTGTTGAAGTAAGTTTGTCAACTTTTTGCTATCACTGAAAAATGTCTTTCTATGATGCATGTGTGTTGGAAGTTCTTATTATGAGTAGCTAAATCAATTAGGGATGTGATTGTTGGAACGGTGATGGTAATTTTCTGAGAAACTCATTGAGTTGAATTATAAAAGGCAATTTACTAGTTTTTATTACTGAGAATTTATACTTGAGATTTGTAAATCGAGAGAAAGCAAATCTATTCTTGAAAATTAAATTTCTTGAGAAATCTGGAATTTAATTAAGTCAAGTCCAGTAATTTGATAATTGATCTTTAGACATTCGATTGATTGTTAAGTAAATATTTGAAAAGATGTTTACTTACTAGTAAAAAGATTTAAGGTAAAAGTAACCGGTGATTTTACTCTAAAAAGAACCATCACCTCACCGATAATTACATCCCTACTTTTTATTCCTGAAAGGTAAAAACTAAATCTCCATTCCTTATTCGACTTTTTGAAAACTTTTTGATTCAACGAGTAAATCTTGTCTAGCTAGTCTTGCTAATCTTTCCCTTGGGCCGATCCTTGAGACGACACGGGATAAACTGATATTTTAAAGGTCTAGTCTGTTCCCTTTACTACTACGGGAATTTTGAGTTTAACCAAAATTCTTCACCAAATGGCGTCGTTGCTGGGATCGGCGCAGAAAGCTATTAGTAGGATTTATTTTTAGTTAGCCTGAAAGAAAGTTGATAGAAACGATTTTCATCATATATATATATATATATATATATATATATATATATATATATATATATATATATATATATATATATATATATATATATATATATATATATAGGGATTGACTCTAGTGAGATGACACCTTACGGTGAGATGACATGCTTCGGTCAGATGACACAAAGCTCACAACTAGTCACTGCAAAGCTCACCAAAGACAACTATGGGCCTGTTTGGGAATAGCGTTAGAGATTAGCGTTAGCGTTTTGGATAAAATTTTGACGGTGCAGATTACTTTGAAAACGCTAACGCTAAAAGCTGCACGTAGATAGCCTTTTCAAAACGCTGACGCTAATCGCTAACGCTATTCCCAAACATGCCTTATAAAGCTCACCAAAGTGTAAGGCAAAGCTCACCATATTTTTTCAACACTTTGAATTTTTTTCCAAAAAAAAAATCAAAGGATAGGGTGCTGACTGGACTTTGACTGTTGACTGCCAGCATTGACCGCCGCCGGTCACCGCCGCCGGTCGCCGGTCGCCGGTCGCCGCCGCCGGTCGGCGGTCGCCGGACTCTGGCCGCCACTGCTGCTCCGCCGCCCTTAACCGGTGGTTGACCGGTGTTGTTATTTTATTTTTAATTAATTTTTTAATTTTTAAAATTAAAAAAAAGGTGAGTTTTGGGGTTCAAAGGGGTGAGCTTTGCTTTATTTCCAGGTGAGCTTTGCATTGTTCATTGGTGAGCTTTGTAGTGTAATACGGTGCGCTTTGCTTTATTAGCTTTTTTTAAAAAAAAAAAAGTGGTGAGCTTTGGATTGTTCCTTGGTGAGCTTTCCATTGACAGTTGGTGAGCTTTGCATTGATAGTTGGTGAGCTTTACACTTTGACCGCCCATGACCAATGGCCACCACCGATGACCCCCACTATTGCCGTGGACCGGTGGTTGAGTGGTGGTGTTATTTTTTTTAACTTTTTTTATTTAAAAAAAGTGGTGAGCTTTGCATTGACAGTTGGTGAGCTTTGCATTGGC